ATACAGCATCTACAACAAAGAATGATAAAATTAGAGAGAAATGCTAGAATGAAGAAAAGCAGTTTGGGGCTTCCAAAGGCCAGAAATTGTGGGAGGTAAATATATAAGAAACTAATGAAGTAAGGTTTGATTTCAGATTTCTCTGGCACTGTTTCTAGGCGGTTAAGTGTTGTCTCCTGTAAGGGATAATATCTGTACTGTTTTTAGGTGGAAAAGGAGAAGATAGAGAGAGCTCTTTCTCCATTGCTATTTCATAGTTATCTTTAGTTCAAGAATAATTTTTATATCCATAAGGCATATTTGGGGTGACATTTTCTGATTTCCTTCACCTACTTCACACCTCTGCCCAAGGATTGGTCTTGCCACCAATATCTACGAAAGCATAGGCTTTGAGGTTAAATCCGAGTTCCATACCTGAGTCTCCCTATTCAGGTGAACTTAAGACCAACTAACTTCTCAGAATCTCTTTCTTCATCTGCTGTCTCCTAAGGGTTGTAACAAGATTTAAACATAATAACGATGTCAATGAATTTAGAACAGTTGCTGATTCAATAAATTCCAAATAGATACTAGCAGTGATCCCAAGGAGAGATATTGGTTGTAACACAAGGAAACGGCCCAGCTCTTTTCTGCCTCCAGCCTGCATTTTGCTGGGTTCCAGCCAGTATTGTTGACTGCTCATTTGCTAATGGATCAACTACATTATCCACCTGTATTAGATCCTTTTTAAAAACTCTTCCTGTTTCCTGACAGTGCCCCTAGTTATGCAATAAGATCCCAAATGTGAATACTTGAAAGGGCCTTGCTTACAATGAATATAATTCAGTCACAACTGCCCAGTGGAAGAACTATTCCTTGTATGAGGGAGTCCCAGCCCTCTGCTCTGCAAACCAAAAAAGTTTTAATATGTACTTTCAAATGTCTGTGGAAAACATTTGGGGCTTGAACTATTTGGAGTTATTTACTCAGGGCTATCACAAGGAGCCAGGAGAAGCACACAGTCTTCTGATAATTTGGTGGGGAGGCATTTACTACTGTTCTTACATACTGTAACTGACCATTCATGTGTCTATTTTCCTTGCTATGTATCTGCTCTAATTTTCAGTCATGAGGACCTCTTCTTGACATCAAGAAATATTACCTAATATTATCCCTCCCCAAGAGCAGTGGTCCATTGACTGAGGAAATGCATTATGAAAAATTGCTATAGTGAATTAACCAAGAATGGAAATTTTATGAATCACAGTACCATCTACGCAGATTTGGAAAATGGTAGTGCATTTCTGCATGAAACATTTTAGCTATCCAGTAAACAGTCATCCAGGAAGCTAAGGATCCCTTGCGTTAACATCCTGGCGCCACAGAGACCTACATCTTGCAGGCTAGGAACCAATGTCTAAAGGTATTTAACTGAGAGTTTGAAGAAGAAAGTACCACAAAGTTATGTTGAACATTAGCTTTCTGAGTGGTCTATAATTCTACTAATGACTGCTGAATTTAAAAATTAAAATAATGATAGGTTAACTGTAAATAGAATTTTGTTTTTGAAACAGGAAAAACATGAATTTCTAGTTGCTTTGGAGTCTAATATTTAACTACGGTAGACTGATCTAAGTCTGGCAGGATACGAGACATAATTTGAAACCATGAAGGTGTAAACCCACGGGAACAATGTGCATAACGCTTGAATTATGTTCAGACTGATCGGGGGATGGCCAGGGGCATTTCTTTATTAGAATTATTGAACAGGAAAGTGCCTTCAACCACAATATAAAAGCCAATTTGCAATTACTGTTCTACTTTTCCTCTACTTTCCATCTTTATTTTAGTGCACAGTTTGTAGCCAAACCAGCTTTTGCATCTCTTGGACTTATATTTTTATAGAGAAAGATTTACTTTAGTTTTCATTTTAATGCTACCATGTAACAAATTGCTCTAAACTTTAAAAAATCTGCTTCCTGGCCTCTTTGCTTCCTTTTTGTCATTAAATGATTAGGAAGATAACATTGTTGAGATCTTAAAGATTCTGAGGATGAAACATATATTTATGCTACATTAGGGAAGTGAAGCATTTCTTGAATTAGTATTTTAAAAGTGGAGTCAAATAAAATGTATTTATTTTAATCTCTTTGGGTTGATTTAGCTCTGGGCTATCCAAAAATGAATTTCTTTATATGTGAAAGTGTCAGCTGTTTAAAATAAAATTATGACTTTGAAATTTACTTACTACAAATCCTAGAATATAGCGACACTCAAAAATGATTACTTTTCATGGGCTTGGGGATAAAAATGCTACTATTTGTTCATTTAGCATTTTTTTCTTTACTTCAAGACTTTTGATTTAGAATTAAAATTTAAGTTCTAGAGAAAAAGTTTCGCAAATGAAGATGAAACAAAACAGTGTATGAAAGTACTTTGTGGGGCCGGGCATGGTGGCTCATGCCTGTTATTCTAGCACTTTGGGAGGCTGAGGCAAGTGGATTACCTGAGGTCAGGAGTTCTAGACCAGCCTGCTCAACATGGTGAAACCCTGTCTCTACTAAATATACAAAAATTAGCTGGGCGTGGTGGTGGGTGCCTGTAATTCCAGCTACTCGAGAAGGCTGAGGCAGGAGGATTGCTCGAACCTCAGGGATGGAGGTTGCAGTGAGCCGAAATGGTGCCATTGCACTCCAGCCTGAGTGACAAGAGCGAAACACTGTTTCAAAAAAAAAAAAATACTTTGTAAATTAAAAGGTAATATTGAGCCTATACCCATCAGTATTTTAATGAAACTCTACATCATAAATAGGTGTTGACATTCATTTATTCCTTCATTAATTCATTCAACAAGCATTTGTTGAATAATGGAAATTCTGCTGTGTTCTTAAGATTCAGCTCTACACAAGGCAATAGAGAAGGCATGTATTTTAGGCTCTGGAGCCTGTATTTGAATCCTAGCTTTGTCTCTTACTTATTGTGTGACTTCGGGAAAATTATGTGACCCTTCCATGCCTTGATTTTGTCTTCAGTGAAATGAAGATATTAATGACATCTAACTCATAGACATGTTTTGGAATGGCGGTTTATAACCTACCTTGGATATGTGTCAGAATTACCCAGAGAGATTTTTTAAAATACCAATACTTCAGCCACTTCTTGGGCTTGGATTCTGACAGCCGACTGATAGTGTCATCATGAGGACACCCAGGTATGGTTTTTCCTGATTCTTTCAAGAGGAGCCCACTATAGGCTTGCAAGTGGAGTTTTGACCAATCATAACTTTCTCTATATTATCCTAAAAGAACACAAAAGGGCCATAATCTTAAATCAGGACACATCCTATAATGAGGAGCCAAAGAACCTGGTCTGTTTGCTATCCTGCCATGAATGATAGCTTGATTCAAGTAGACATTGAAACTATTTCATTGGATATTCCACCAGAGGAGAAACTTACCAAGGATTCAGTGACAGTTCCTATGGAAGATTTATGTCATCAAATTCAGATTGGTACCATGGCAGATATCACCAATACTGATTCAAAACCCATATTTGGCACCAAGAAGCTTTCTCAGGTCCTCTCTGACACAGAAATTGCATACAACATATCAAATTCTGGATGATGCTACTGATGTCTGATGGATAGAAGTAGAGTGTGAGGAAATTAGGTATGCAAACTCACCTGTGCAACCCCCTTGAATCACAAGTTCAGAAGCAAAACATCCCATGAATTCTAAGCCAAAATCATTGCAGCTGGGGGAGAAAATGGCTCCATCCCAAGCTCTGAATGACCCCTCAGTAGTGAGTAACTGATTCCCTAACACTAAATCACCAGAGTTGCTGAGAACTCTGTGAATATCTCTTTCTCTGTTCATGGATATATTATGAGACATTAAATTTGTTTCCTATGGTTGCTGAAACAAATTACCACAAACCTAGTGGCTTAAAACAAAATAAATCTATTATTTTATATTTCTAGAAGTCAGAATTTAGAAACATAGGTCTTATGGGGCTAAAATCAAAGTATTGGCATGGCCACATTCCTTTTAGAAGCTCTAGGGGAAAATCCACTTCTTTGCCTTTTAAAACTTTACAGTCTACCCACATTCCCTGGCTTGTGGCTCCTTTACATCTTCCAAGAAGCAATAACATCATAACCTGTGCCTCCATGGTCATGTATCTTTGAATGACTCTCCTGCCTCCCTCTATCCCTTATAAGAGCTCCTGTAATTGCACTGGGACCACCTGAGTGATCCAGAATAATCTCCCTGTTAAAAATTCTAAATCATATCTGCAAAGTCCCTTTTGCCACACAGGTTAACATATTCCCAAGCTCTAGGGATTAGGATGTGGACACTGGTGGCATGGGACAGAACATGGAATTACAGAGGTCAAGGCAGAGTTTAACTTTCAATGCTGAAGGAACAGTAGGGTGGGTGACTTGAACTTCTCCCTCCCCCTCTTTTGCCACGTATTGAGTTTGGTATATTTAGAATGGATAGCAGATAAAAGAATTGTTAGTCTGTAAATGCCGTGAGACATACAGCTTGATGATTTACAGAAAAAAAATTCTCTTAGCCTTTATAGGATTGAATAGTTCTTAACTTCTATCATTGAGAAGCAGGTTAAATTCCTCTTCCTTTAGGTTTCTACAGAAGTACACTTCACCCTAGAAACAAAGTGCAGTGTGTAGGTTATAACCTACACAGGCCGTCTCTTATTCCTCGGCTTACTCCTGCAGACACTGATTGAAGAAGGGGTTCCCCAACATCTATTTGGTCTGAAATACAGTTGAACCCAAACTGTATCTGAAAATAATCCTTACCTGAGAGTATCCTGCCAGCGACGCAGGATATTTTCTCCACCCCATCACAGGTCTTGCGACAAGGGTGCCTCATTTGCTCAGCCTGCCCTGCTCAACCCCTCTCGGGAGGGAGCATGCAAGCAAAGGAGTGTGGAACCAGAGTCAGTGAGTGCAGGAACTGGCCAGCAGCCCAGCAGGAGCAAACTCCCTTCTCTCAGGTTCACCCAGGCTCCACCCCTAGCAGGAGGGAGCCTGGGAGCGAACAAGTGCAGGAACCAGCTGACCTCTTCCGTGCTGGTAGGAGCAAAGTCCACTGGCAGGAGCTAACTCTGTGCAGCCCCCTTGACCCGGAGGCCGGTGAGTTACAATGCTCTCTTAGGTCTGCCGCCTGCAGATAGCAGTGTGTTATCAGCTCAGTGATCCTTTAGCTTTGTCGCATGTGGTGGCTGCCCTCTGCCAGCAATGGCAAAGGGTCAGTGTGACAGCCTTTTTGGGTACCCATATATGGTACATCCCAAATTCTTGTCCATTGCTCAAAAAGAATGAGGTCACATGGAAAAATAGAAGGATAGTAAATGTGGAGAATTTTATTGAGTGATGAAAGTGGCTCTCAGGGAGAGGGGAACTGGGAGGGGGATGGGAAGAGCAGGTCGCTCTCCTCTGGAGTCAAGCTGCCTCTCTGCCTTTCTCTTCCAAAGTCAAATTGCCTCAATCAGCCACTGTCTCTGAAGTTAAGTTGCCTCACCCGGACGTCCAGCCACTTCTCCCCTCTGCTGGCTGAGTCCGGGGTCCTTATAGACACACGAGGGTGGGGGGCAGGGCAGGCCATAGGTAGTTGCGGAAAAGGCAACATTTGATTGGTAAAAAGACATTATTCAGAAAGAACCAATCAGTAGAGAGCAGGCACACAGGGATGGATATTCTTACTGCGGGCTGTGGTGACTAAGGCTTTTCATCTCAAAGATGGGGTTTTGCCAGGGACCTGCCCCTGTTTGCCTAGAGTTTCTCTGCCTCTGTCACAATCACCAGCACTGGGGAGGTAGGCAAAACAAATGGCAAAGATTTTCCAACCTTTCCATGACTTTTAAATCTGCTGTTTGGATATTCTTAATAAAAAAGTACTGATTTATTTTAATTGTTTTGAGCCTTCCTTATGAGTGAATAATTATACCATGGATTATCTTTTGAACCAGGTAAATACTGCCCTGAAATAGTCTATTTTCAAATATCAGGCTTTAAATAGTTTTGTTTTGCTTTATAAATGAATCTTACTCTGCTGAGCCATAGAGGTCAGGGCAGAATAGCTATTTGAACCAGCTATTCTGAACAGCTATTTGAATAACTTCAGAACTGATGTGTTTTTCTAATGTCTTTAGGGAAGCAGTGTATTTTATTCCTTGCATGTGGTAGGTTATTGTGCACTGCGAAGGCCTGAATTACAATTCCTGATTCTCACAGTGCACAAAAATATTTGCACACTGGAATTCATGGTATGTGGGGCACAAAATAGCCAAAGAAGTTGGCAGATACCATCCAACTTGTGAAATAAAGAGAAAAATCAGTGTAAAAAAATTCCAGCCTGCCTGTTGCCTATTTGCTTTCTCCCACCCCCCAACATATGATTGATCCTGATCCTGATTGATTCTTACTCTGTAACATTGGGAAGCACCTTCCAGCTCTCAACAGCTTCTGAATCTGTGTACATGACCCTTCTCCTCCTAGGTCCAGGAAAACAACTCTTGACATTCACATAATTTCTTCTTTGAGATTCTGAGTTGACCTTGAAAAGTCCAGAACATGGGCAGTCCTCTCCCAGAGCCACCCTGGGCGTCTGTTCTTGGCTGGATAATGCCTTGACAGTCCCAACCTCCAGAGGAAGCCTTTCAGTCCATCCCTGAGCTTGAACCATACTCTGGCTTCCCACATCCAGGATCCTGGCCAAAATTATTGAAGGCATCTAGAGTTTTTTTTTTTTACTTGGAACTCAAGTTGCATGTTTTTCTTATCGAAGTCTAATGTTTGGTTTCTTCTCCATTCTCAGAAACAACATCATCCTCTTCTAGTTGAGAAATCCCTAATTTGACTTAAAATAATGTGTACATTAAAAGATAATAATAATGGAAGCCAATGAAACAAAAATGTGTTTGTGCTATCCAACCTTTTTTCTTAGAAACCTAGCTGGGACTATGATTTTCTTAGCAAACTCCTAAGCCCAGAGAAGTTAAGCATGTACACAACAGCACAAAGCCAGGGGCCTAGCCCAGCAAGATAGAGGGGATGTTTTATGGGAGAGTATTTCAGTGAATGACTGGAGCCTTGATGTCTGGCTCCACCGGGTGCAACTACCCCACTAGAGAATGTATTTGAGTGAAAGAAGGAAGGCTGGATCCAGGCCGCTGTATGATGCTCGTTATGGTGTTATTCAGCGGTTACTAAGGAGTACCTACCTGTTTACTCAGGATGTGTAGCCTCCTGGGTGACAGAACCTCCAGGGCTTTGCCAAACAACAGCTGCAGAAAGGGCAGTGCTTGGAGAGTTGACAGCACTTAAAAAAATTTTAATAGATGCCTATATCTAATACCAAACATTAAATAAGACAGAAATATCAGCCAATAAGATTTATAAAGTATATTTTTTAGTCATGATTTTTAAAAGGGTTTTGAAGACAACAAGGACTGCTTGGCTAAAAATCTTAGTGCAAAGTGCATTGCTGGCCAGCTGGTAATGGCTGAAGAAAGACCAGAGTATAAGTAGGTGGAGCAAATTAACAGCCGGAGTGGGCCTTTAAAAACTTAAAGGACTGCTATTAAAGCTACTCAACTTCAACTTGAACTTACCTTTAATTCTTGATATAACTTTATGAAATATTTATATTTTTGCTCTAATTATTCCCTCTTTTCCTTTTTTCCTCTTCTCCCCATGAAGTAATCAGTTCAATTCTTTGACCAAAATTTATATTATGAGGTATTGTATGTAAATAATGAATTAAAAGAAACCCTTAAAATCCAGACAATGCAGCGACCTGCCCTTTAAGGAAATCACTGCATATAACTGAAATAAAATGCAGGTTCTTCAGGGTAACTGACACCATCATTGAATGATATCTTTATATCAAGTAAATAAAATACCATCTTGTTAAAGAAAATTCATCTCTATCGATATAATTTTCCCAATTTAAAGGCTCAAGTTGATATTAGGGTAGAAAATTGGAACAAAAGGAAAACATTTCTGTAATGTTTGGATTCTGGTCACCCGGAAGAAAACTAGATTCAAAACAATGATTTCTAGGGAAACAAAATTAATTCAAAGTTCTCAGGAAAAACTTTAATAGTTGTTCTGCGAGAAAGCCATTATTACATCTTTAAATAAAAGGGTATTTTTATTGGAAGTCCGTTATAAATAACTTTAAAAAACTGACTTTACCAAAGAGAAAGTAAAAATATTGATAAGGGTTGGGTGTGGCGGCTCATGCTTGTAATCCCAGCACATTGGGAGGCCGAGAGGGGCGGATGACTTGAGGTCAGGAGTTCGAGACCAGCCTGGCCAACACTGCAAAACCCAGTTCCTACTAAAAGTACAGAAAGAATAAACCAGGTGTTGCGGCACATACCTGTAATCCCAGCTACTAGGGAGGCTGAGGCAGAAGAACTGGTTAAACCCAGAGGTGAGCTGAGATTTCACCACTGCATTCCAACCTGGGCGACAGAGTCTCAAAAAATTTTTTTGAAAAGATAGTTATAAGAAATAATCACACATCAGATGATGAAATTCTTTTCCTGGTTTTAAGTTGGGCTTCACATTCACTAACCTCTCTGTTCAGCTGCTGTTTTATGCCACTCTATTCCCAACTTGCTTATTTTTTCATTTAGAATGAATGACACTGCCTGATTATTTAGCACCAAACAGGACTTTCTATCTATTCCTCTGTAGATAAAGTGTTCTAAGTGCAGACCACTAGAAGTTTTTGTGCATACATATATTGGGAGTATGCATTCAGATAATTTTGTTAAAATTGTTTCTATTGATTCAAGAGTTGTGTGGGAAAAAGTGAAGAAAAATCACATAAGCATTTAAATAATTCTGAAGGATTTCAAAAGAGAAATCGTGAGGTTCCTTAACTGCTATGATGGAATTTTGTGTGCATGAAAAAAAGTCAGGAAAAATGCTGGGTGTGCGACCCCTCCTGTAGACCCCTGCCCGGTACCCGATCCCAAGTAAACAGCTCGAGAGTTTGAAGCCGAGGTCAGGTTTATTGGGACCAGCGGGCAGGCCAGGAAAGGAAGGAGATCGGGGCTGGCTGCGACCCCGTAACTGGGGTAGGAGGGTCTTATAGGGGGGTGGACGGGACATGGACACAGGGCTGGCGGAGTGTCGTGGGAGCTTAGGATGGGCTGTCCGTCTCTAGGCAGACTGCTGAGGTGGCTCAGAGGGTTATGTGTCGGTTCAGGATAGGCTGAGGCTTGGCGGGCTTTACTGCTGGAATGGTTGGCTGCTTGTTGTTGCTGGGCAGAACAGAGCAGGCTTGGTGGGCTTTTCTCAGGGCAGCAGGAAGCCTGAGGGGAGGGTGGGGGCAAGAAACCTGGGGGAAAGATGGCGGGACTTTCTACCGAACACTGGGTAGATGTGGTACCAAATCAAAAGTACTACACTAAATAGTGTAAATATGTTTTTCACTATTATAAAGTTCAAAAAACAATCATGCTTTATGTTCCTTATTTTCTTCAAAGAGACTTTTCTCGATTATATTATCATCAATATATAAACATTGACATTTCCATTTTACAAGGTTTGATAAGTTGCCTTGTGTCAAACATATTTTTCTGGCTTCCAGATAACTAGTGCAAGGCCACCATGCCTTTTACGTGGCCTCAGCCACAGGTGATCGCAATTCATGAGGTCAGACCTTGAGCCTCAGACTGCACAGTGCCAAGTGGTTATAACAGGTCCTCAACCCAGGCTGTGCTCCTCTGTCCCATCTACGGCTTCCTTCAAAATCCCTCCATCACCCTCTCGCCTTCTCACAAACTCAGGGATTTTATTGGAAACACATCAAACAAACCATGTAAAGGCAGAATCATCAGTGGTTCTAAAAGTAGGTAGGGAAAACAGCTGGGACTCTTTAATGGCATAAAAAGCCCTGCCTCTCCAGAGCTGGAGCCTCCTCTTCAAGTCATGGTGGATGGAGAGCTCGCTGCCTATCTGGGTCATCTTGCCTGGAATTAAGAGGTAATTACTATCCTGACAGACTACCCCTTACCAGAGATAAACAGGTAGGTGCAGTTGGCCGTAATTATCCCTTTTTCTGTCTCACAAATAACCTGGCACCTTCCCCACCATGGTTAGCAAATCCCAGAAGC